CATCCAGCCCCGGCTCCTCTCGGCACTCGCGTTTCCCCATCCCGCAGCTCCCTGGCAGCTGCTTCCAGCCGCCCCAGCCACATCCCGCCCCGCTCCTCTCGGCACCCGTGTTTCCCCGTCTCCCCCCTCCCTGGCAGCTGCTTCCAGCTGCCCGGCGCCTTCCCTGTGCCCAGGTTGTGCCTCGCATCCCTGCCACACAATCAGCTCCCGGAGTCCCTGCGAGCGCGTGAGCCTCCCCTCTCATCTATGTCACCCTACCAGTCTTCCTCAGGTAACGAGGGACCACCCGGAGGTTATAAAGAGCCAAACAAACCTGCTCTCCTTATTCTAGATTTGTGCGCCTGTGTGGCCATGTTCTCCCCAAGCACTTTCATTAGGAAAAAAACATAACTGAATGTCTACAGATTTTTTTTTAATTAGGAGGATGCCAAATGATGCAGTGAAATATCTCTGGTGTCACACATAGGAACTGTGCAGCACAGTTGAGTTAATTGAGGAATAAGCAGGATAACTGAGATGAATTAAAAATTTTCCGCATGCAGTTACTTGTGGAAATTACTTACTTACTAGCAAGCTCAATTAGAACCTTTTCTTCTGGTCAGCTTCAAAGAATTTATGCTTTTATCAGGGGACTCTGAGTTTTTAACCATTTCTGTGTAGAAATTTCGTTTTGAACCTCAACTTTTATCAAGGACTTGGGCAAATATTTAAAGGCAGCTGGCCTGAGGTTTCATTTTGGAACAAAGACTAAGATTAGAGGGTTAAGCTGTTTCCAGTGCACACGTTTTACATATGAATGCTGCATTAAGCATGTCAAACTTTCTGTTTGACTTCTGATTACATATTATGGCATCAGTATTATTACAAGCACATTGTTTAAACTCTGCAGGGTAGCAGCAGTTTAATCTCTTGCTTGTAAAACAACCACAGGAAATTACCCTTACTCTTCACTTGATGTATATATTCATCATTTCTGATGTGCCTGTGCTGGATGACACCATGTAAGGGGACTAAGGGGAGTGTAATTAGTGTTTCTTTGGGGTAAAGTGCTGAATGCAAAATTAAACGCGGCTGTTCTGTGTCTCTAGATGACAGTAGTTTCCCTGATTAACCTTGTACTGTGCCTCTTTAGCTTAAGTTCGTCCTTATCTATGCTTCATTATTAACTCATATTTTAAGTAAGCTGGATATGTTTCCATTAGTGAAGTTGTTGTTGACTGTGAACATGACTACTCCGATCATCTCCCAAAAGGAAAAAAAAAAAAAAAAGGTGAGATTTACCTACGACTTTTGTGCCAAATCCAGCCCTTTCACATTTCTACTTTATTGATATAAGAGAGATACAGAGGAAAGAATGTGACTGATTGTGTAGATTTTGTACACTCTTCTCCATGAGGTATTTGGAATAGCCAGGAGCTGCTAGTGCTGCCATACACATATACAAGCACATATGTATATGTGTAACATGCCAATAGCTTCAAGAGCACCAGTGATTTGAACTCCAAGCCATTTCTAGGTTCAGCTAAAATTTTTTTCTAAGCCCAACTCCTGATAGGCTCCAATATGGGAAAAATGTTATTTTAAGGGTTAGCACCAGTAAATGGTGCTTCTAAGAAGAATGAGATTACTTGCATGGTTGAATATATGCTAGCAGCATGAGAGAATGGTTTGTCAGTGCTAGAGGACTGTTGCAAATTATCATACATAGACACTGTCTACATCATGACACCCTGGAGATGCTTTTGAAGATCTTTTGTGGATGTGGTAGAGACACTCATGGTAAGTGCTATGGTACAACAGTGCTCCATGAGTTTTTCCAGTGATGACTTCCCTCATTTTTTGCAGCTCTTGTGAAATATTTTAAAATACGTTGTACTGGCTTTCTCCTTATTTTGAGTTGCAGTAGCTGGCCATAATTTTCTTTGTGACTTGGGTCTCTGCTCCTGGGTTGGTTGGTCATAGCAAGGCAGCAAAACAATAACAATATGGAGTCTACTCATAGTGGAGAAAGGGAGCTGTATACTCAGTGCTTGAAAAATCAAGTTTGTCATATCCTTGTCTCATTGTTCATAGATTTTGGTTGGGCTAGTGTGCAAACTGGAGGTGTGTAATGGCAGCAAAGGGGGCACTTCGCCCATCAAATACGTCAAAGAAGGAAAGGCAGGAGACTGTCTTGTCATAGAGGAGAAAGAAAACTGAGGTTCAGTTCTCTACCACAGGTTTTTGTTGGAATCATTCTCCCACTCAGGAGACTTTGGGTTTCTGATCCCAGTTACAGCCACAGCTCCTGAACTTATTTTGCTTGTTCTCGTTGCTCAGAAGTCATCCATATCACAGTGACTACAGGGCAGTGGGATAAGACACAGTGGTGGAAAGCTCTGTGCCAGTACAGGTGTCGGAACAGTATTAAATATAGCTTGTACTACTGTCTTCCATGTTTCCTTTTTCATTTATTTTATACTCTCCCACTTTCTAATTTATCCCATATTTCTCCTTTCAACTTTTTTTCATGGGTGCCTGAATTTTTATCTTTCTTGATTTGCCTTGGCTGTTAAATTATTTTTCTTCCTTGGTTATCTCTCTGTTCATGTTGTTCATGTTTACTTACTTGATCTTCACCTGTGTCTTTTCAGTGCTTTCTTTCCCTCCCTATCGTATTCTTTTTTTTTCCCCTCATTTTTCTTATTTCCATTCACCAGTTCATTTCTTCCTTTTCTCTTCCTTTCTCATCTTACTTTCTGTCCTCAACTCCCAGTTCTATTTTTTTTCCTACAAATGTCATTTCACCACCTTCCTGCCCACTGTCTTCCCACACACACCACTGAGAGACATAGCATAGGTACATCAAGGCAGGACAGAGCTTGTTCCAAACTGGCAGGGCATAGCTTGTTTCATGTGTGTTATTGAAAATGCAAACTCACCAGAGCAATGACTGTTCTCCCAGTTCTTTTGCTGAAGGATATATGAAGAACATCAAACGCTTTTGTGGTCTTTTAGATCCAGACCATTTTCAACAGAAATCACATGAGTCGACAAGGGGATCCCTAAGGCAAATCATTCTCCTTCATCCCTACTTCGAAGAGTACTGTTCTCAAGAAGGTGAAAGTTTAACAGAAACACTATCAGCAAATATTTTAGCAAAGGTGATTTAAGCAGTTGCATGCTGACTGTAATATGGTTTGCATCCTAACAGTAGAAGAGTGTAACTGTCATCTTCTTTATAATAGCCTTTAAAATGTGAGAAAAATATGATCTGAGCAGAACATGGCTGTCAGCTTTTAGCAAACGTTTGAAAAGCACAGGGCCATCTTCTCCATTTGAGGTAGGCTTGAACAGTTCCCTGGAGTTCATAGTGCTCTTACAAGTCTGGGAGAGAGGGCTGTCCTTCAGGTACTCTGCCTACAAAAATAAGAGGGAACATATGGAAAAATCAAGACAGAAAGACCTTATTTCTTTTCCCAGGCTGTAGAAGTGCTTCACCTTGTATCATGCTCACTCAGATGTCCTCTTTTTCCCAGAGGTAAGCAGCATCTTAGTGTATTCTGTCTAGGTTTTTCTCCATGACTAACTATTCCTTTCATCATCCTCTCTCTTTGCATGCCAAATGGGCCCTGTAATGCTGTGAATCACAGATTTATGAACTCCCCAGCCACTGTAACAGAGCTCTTTTTCTGCTCCAAGTCCCCTCTACGTACAGGAATAGTTACACACACTTTCTTTACCCTCCTTCCTTGCTTTTCTGTTTCATTACTGCAAAATGAACTAATGTTCTTTTTATTCTGATACAGTCCCCAGGTAAGGAAAACAGAGATAAAAGTGAAAGGAAACCCAGAACTACCAGTTGCCACATGTGCATCCTAGTTGGTGTCAAGTAGGCAAACAGCTCTGCCGAGGATGAGGTAGGATACTGGGAAACAAGGCAGCTCCAGCTAATCTCTTCTATTAGGCAGATCATAAAGGGTGTAGCAGAGAACGTTTCATACTGCTGGAAAAATCTCTCCAGCAAAGTGTCTGGAGACCTCTTGTTCTTGGACAAATAGTCTCCTTCACCAAAGCTTCCTGGGGGTAACTGATTTTTGATGGCAAACAAAGTTGCAATTAAATATGAGGGAAAAGTTGAAGGTTTTGTCCCAGAAGAATTGCTGAGGATTTTTTGAAAATATCACCTGTGAATAGTAATGAAAAAATAAAATGCTGAATGTTTTTGTAAAATGTTAATACATTTTTTCAGATCAAAATCAAAAATAGTGATCTCAAAATATTTGGTTTGAAATTCAGTTTGTAATAATCCTGATAAATACACTGCATTTAATATTTTTAAGTAAAATGTTGATTAAACTGAAACTCCAGACCTTTAATTTAAAGTGCATCCCATTGAAATAAGATATTTTCATCAATTTCAAAGCACTCTTCTATTCGGACATTTGTTTTTTCCTTTGAATGACTTGATGAGTCAGCGCTGTAAAAAATGACCACTTTGTGGAAACTTCCCAAATGGTTCTTCCTGTGTCTCTTCATGATTGATCTGTCAGCTGTAACTTCTTAATTGTCTCCTTATAATTTATGAGATCCAAGTT